TACACTGTCGTAGTTATTCGCCGAATTAATATTAAGAAGATTTTCTGTATCAAAAGATTCATTGTATTTGTTGTTATGGTTGTTATTCATTGAATAAAGAGGGTCTGAGGGAAAAAATTCAATTACACTGTCGTAGTTATTCGCCGAATTAATATTAAGAAGATTTTCTGTATCAAAAGATTCATTGTATTTGTTGTTATTGTCATTATTATTGTCATCTGCTGTATCAAAAGAAGGATAAAATTCTTGAGGAGAAATTTTGCTGGCAACAGTTTTATTACAATCGTAATGTATCATATGTAAAGGTAGATTTCCTTTCTGTTTGTATATTATTTCAGCCTCACGAGCTAAATCTTTATAATGGTTTTTAACATGTAAAGGCTCCTCTACCCAAAGCTTTCCCGCCAAAGATGAGACCTGAGAAACTGTTAGTATGTGTCGATAAACAATAAAAGCATTTGGGAATTTACGAAACTTTGGATTCACCACTCCGACAACATCACTAGATTTAATGTCGGGTGGGAATTTAGGTTTATATGATATATATGCTTTTAAGATCCAATCAAACAACCTGTTTTTTTTACTTTCTTTTTTCATATTTTTTTCCATTTAAAAGGAATTAAGGAAAAATTTTTAAATAATCATTATTGAAAAAAGTAAAAATCGTTATTTATTTATTACACAATATTAATTCATGATACGCCGGAGAAATCTTTCCCGAAAAAACCGGATAATTGGTCAAATTAGAGCCTTCCTATTATTTAACAAGTATGGCTGATGATGGCTAGCCTTGTCAGTTAATTTCAAGAAATACATAATAATTCGGTCCAATCTCGTTATAACGGATGTTACCACATGTATAAACTGTACTATCTAAAAAATCAAACCAGGTATATGATTTTTACAGATCCCATAGTTTTTCTAAGGAAGCAGGTTTCAAAGTAGAAAATGGTTAATTTTAGAAATCAAGTAATTAGTTGTTGATCCTTTTGTGAATGACGATTTTTAATTTTTAACCTTGCAATGTAAAGTTTCCTGGAGAAGATTAAGATTTTATAAATTCAATGAGATAAAATGCATGATATAATGTGGTCATATAACAAAGTTAATATATTTTTTTTATGTACGTTTTTCCAATTAGATCAATTTAATGCATTTATTTAAAAAGTTTAGAAAGTTAAAAATAAATAAATTTTATTCTAATATTCTTCTCATATAAATAATTTTTGCGTCTTATAATAATTTTAAAAATTATATTTTACTAAAAAATCAACTATTCAAATCATTAAACCCAAATATTTTAAGTCCAACATAAGTTCTATCAATAGATGACTCTTCATCACCTGCAAATGCTAATAAATATCCTTTTGGATGCCACGCAACCGAATTTGTAGCTGCTTTTGTTTTTATTTTATACACTGTGCTCCCATTTTCTACATTTGACTTTAAAAAAATTTTAATATTAGTATTAATAAACTAGTATTATTATTATATTATTATTATGATGATGATGATATTTACCACTATGATGTGTTCATCTTCTGATGCTGCTGCCAAGTAATCACCATCATATGTAAAACTTATTGTTCTGACAGGAAATCTTTAATTTATAAATTATTTAAAAATTTGCAATGAATTAATTAATTCACATGTTGTAATAATATGATGATGATAAATATATTTACTCCAATTCTCCAAATGTTCTTAAACAAACACATTCTTCTATATCCCATAAAGTTACAAGTGCATCTGCTCCACCTGCTGCAACATATCTAATGATTATTATTTTAATAAATAATAAGTCAAATAATAATATTACTATTTTTTTTTAAAACAAATTCTCAAATTTACATTTACATTTTTTTCAAATTGTTCTTACCTTTCCCTAGGATCAAAGTCTATGCAATAACAATTTGCTGTATGACCTCTTAAAGTATGAATGTGTTTTAATGATGGCCATTCTAATATTTTAATTGCTCCTGATCCCGTGGTTAAGAAAAACATTGTACAGTCATGATTCCAACTTATTTCATTAATCTAAAATAATTTTTGTTAAATATTGATATATATATATATATAATTATTATAATATAATAATAAAATAATAACAATGTACTTCATCTCTTGAATCATTATCTTCAAAATAATGATTAACAATGGAAGGTAGTGTAGATGGATTTTTCTTATTATCTATAAATGATATTTTATCATCCTAAGAAAATAGATAAATAAAATAAATATTTTTTATCTTTTATTTCCTCCTCATCATATAATAACAATCTCACGATCGATATTAATATAAACCTTATCTCCTACTGCTACCATATTACCGTCCCAACTCCAACTTATATTAATATTTTCGCCATCAGTTTTAACAACATGGATACACCTTTTAGGGTCTAAAATTAATAAATAAATTTATTCTGCCAATTGACAATTAACACTGTAATAATAATAATAATAACAACAACAACAACAACAATAATAATAATACCTCTTGTATCCCAAAATCTAACAGTTTTATCGGTTGATGCTGTTGCTAATTCATATGGTGATTGAGGGTTCCAGCATAGCTGATCAACACTTTCCTCATGTCCTAATAATTTAACTGAATACTTTATATCTTCCTATATAAAAATAAAAATAAATGATTTGAATGAAATGTATTGAAAAAAAAAAAAAATATATATATATATATATATAAGATCACTATAAATTGATAAATTTAAAAAACCTGATCGGCTTCCCAAAGCCTAACTGTTTTATCTACAGAACCACTAGCAAGCTTTCTACCATCACAATTCCAAGCAACTGTTCTTACAGTTTTTGTATGTCCTATCAAAAGTTTTGTTCTAGAATTTTCAAAATATTCTTTTGGCTATAATAATATGTGTGTGTGTTATAAAAAAATTTTTTTTTAAAAAAATAAAAAAAAAAAATAAAAAATCTTTACTTCTTGATTTGGTCCTGGACCTTGTGGTACAGGTTTTCTAATGTTTCTTTTTGAAGAAGATATATTGCTATTACTGTTATTAGACTGATTTGCTGCTGATGAAGCACTATTATTATGGATATTGTTAGATGATGAATTATGAGAATAAGGTGACATTTGGTTTAAAATTTAAGGGTTGAGACCTCCCTATAAATGGATTTATCATTATGATCTGCAAATATTATAAAAATATTTTTTATTTTTGTTGAGAACAACAACGACACCAATATATGAAGGTTTGTCTGTAATGTACTTCCGTTTAAATCTGGTCTATATAAATTTATCATTATTTTACATATTATAAACCAATTAAGCAAACGTAATCAACCTCTCTTGTTTAAAAGTTTTATCAGCGAGTTCTTCGTGGTCACGTTTCAATCGACAATAAACCTGTATAATGTCTTTTAGTTATTTTGCCATTTTCATTCAATTTACCCACACTACTTCCTCAATTACATCAAATTAACTTTAAATACAGGCTTAGCTTGTACTCATAAACAATTTTCACAATTTCCACACAGAGGGCTTAGATTATCACCATTTTTGCAAAATACTTCGCCAGCATATACAGTTCATTCTCTCTACATGGTTTAGTAGTATTAGGAAATAATATCTGTTATAGAGAGAATCTATAATAATTTATGTATTAATATTAATATTAATTGGGGACATATAAATTGCGCTTAAGTTCTCAGTCCATGATAGGAAAATCCATTATAGAGAGTGTGTGTGAACTGTATTTCCTACACGTGTATTGCGTCTCACAACTTCAAATATTTTTTCTCTTGATTTATCCAGATAGGCGTGCCTTTTATCTATTTCAGAACCTTCACCCATTCTTCAGTTACAGGAATTGTTTGTGTTATTGTTATTATTTTACAAAATCAAAATACTTACAGTTCTCTTCCTTGTGTTATAATTAGTGGAAATAAAAAATCATAGACTATGATCTCTTCTGTTTCTTGAATATATCATAAAAGCAAGATATACTGGATAATTCTGTTTAACTTTAATTTCAAAGCAATAGTTTTCCTTACCTACACTCAATGGAAATATATTACCAGCTGATACATCACCTTTCATTGTAATAGTATGATAATATGGATTTTTAGAACTTTGTATGTCACGAAGCATGTATTCACCATTTTGCTCTTTTAAATTTTTCTAAGGAAGAATTGTGAGTTTTCATGTATTGTATCCAGTGTGGAATTTTAAATAAATAAAAAATGCGAAATATATTTATTTGCTTACCTTTCTCATTTTTTAGTATTATTTTTCATTATTACTAAAACTACTAAACATATGTATAAATAAAACTAAGGAATTAGTTTAATCCCATTTCATAGATCATAAACATGTGATATAGATATTAATAAGGCATTTGCGACTTTAAGTAAGTTAAATAAATATCTACATGTTTATGGAAGTTATGTGGTTTAAATAAACTTTCACAATTTAAACAGTCATTCCACAAGTTTAACATATACATTTGCTAACTTAATTATACATTCGTTAAGAATTTGAATCTTGCTAATAATATGTGTCTTTATTTTTAACACTAACTTTTTAATTTTTTTACATGTAGTTAAAATTATAATTTTCAGCAATATAAAAGATAATAAGTCGCGTTTTATTTATATTCCTATTTAGTAACAATTTTTGTACTATGTAGATCCCCTACCCTTAAGGATATATTAATATATTAATATTAAAATTTTTCAAATCACAACTAGCGGAAATGCGTCATGGTAATACGACATATTAATATAATAATAACTAGTTTAAATTGATTATATATATATGTAACATAATAATTTGGCCCGATAAAAATTCAAAGGAATTCAAATTTTTTGTAGTAGTACAGATCAAAGATTTTTATTTATTTATTTTTTCCAATGAAAAGAAAATGTTGAAGGAAATTCTAAATAAAAAGTATACATTATATGCCACTAGTTTATTAGGTATAGCAACCACAACAACGTATTATTATTATTATAATTATAATAACAACGACAAGAACTATGATAACTTAAATCAAGAAGAGAAAAAAAAGTTGAAAAAATACAAATCATTAGCTAAATTATTTATTCAAACACCTTATACTGCTATTACTACAACTACAACTACAACTACCATCGCTAATGATAATCTATCATCCTTATCAACAAACCCTTCTTTTTATTCAAATATTTTAAACTCTGTTAGATTAGAAGACTATCAAGATGATGATAATTTATCAAATATAACATGGCCGCCGCCTTCCAGAAAAGTAATGTTAGATTTGCTTAAAGGATTAAACAAAGATTTAAACGATGCTTCCACCACCAAACATAATTCGTCATCATCGTCACATTTTGATCTTTTGGTAATTGGTGGCGGTGCAACCGGTAGTGGTGTAGCGCTCGATGCTGCTACCAGAGGATTGAAGGTAGCATTGGTAGAAAGAGATGATTTTGCATCTGGTACTTCATCTCGTTCAACTAAACTTGTACATGGTGGTGTAAGATATTTGGAAAAGGCATTTAAAGAATTAGATTATGGACAGTATAAACTTGTTAAAGAAGCACTTCATGAACGTGCAAATTTTTTTAATGTTGCTCCTTACCTATGTTTTCAATTACCTATCATGTTGCCAATTTACAAGTAAAGATTTGTTTTAAAAGCAAAAAAATGAATATATATATCGTATCTATTTAGTTAGTTTTTTTTTTATTTCTTAAAAGTTTTTATTATCATTACAATATTTTTATTATTTTTTTATTTTTTTCCTTGATTTATTTAATCAATTATCTTTAATTCAACTCATTTTATCGATTGATTGATTGATCGATTGATTGATTGATTGACTAATAGATCAATTACGTTTCCTTTCCCTTTATAAAATACATGATGATTTTTTAGATGGTGGCAAGTCCCTTATTATTGGATTGGATCAAAAACGTATGATTTACTTGCAGGCAAAGAAGGAGTAGAAAATTCATATTTTCTAACATGTGGTAAAGCACTTGATGCTTTCCCTATGCTAAATAACGACAAACTTGTTGGTGCAATGGTTTATTATGATGGTTAGAAATCATCTTGGAATCAATGAATGATTTATTTTATTATTTAAAAAATGATTATTATTATTATTGCTATTATTAATAATTATATTAAATAATATTATTTTTTAGGTCAACATAATGATGCTCGTATGAATGTTGCAATTGCTTTGACTGCTATATGTCATGGTGCGGTTATTGCAAACCATGTAGAAGTCTTAAATTTACTAAAAGATGAATTTAATGTAATTAATGGAGCAAGAGTTAGAGATAATTTGACAGGCGAAGAATGGGATGTTAAGGCCAAGGGTGTCATAAATGCTACAGGTGCATTCACAGATAGCATACGATCAATGGATGATCCAAGTAATAATAATATTGTTGCACCATCATCTGGTACACATGTGATATTACCAAATTATTATAGTCCTAGAAAAATGGGTTTACTTGATCCTGAAACATCAGATGGTAGGGTTATTTTCTTCTTGCCGTGGGAAGGAAACACCATTGCTGGCACAACTGATTCACCTACAGAAGTAACTTTTGATCCTAAACCTAAAGAGGAAGAGATTCAATGGATTCTACACGAAGTTGGAAGATATTTAAACCCTGGTTTGTCTTTATTATTATTAATATATATCGGTAACACATATATAAATGATAATGAACAATATTAATTATGAATGATTTCAGATATCAAAGTACGAAGGGATGATGTTCTTGCTGCTTGGTCAGGTATTAGACCATTGGTTCGAGACCCTTCAGCAAAAAACACAGCAGAGTTGGTGAGAAATCATATGATTAATGTTAGTAGTTCAAAACTGATTACTATTTCTGGTGGTAAATGGACTACTTACCGTGCAATGGCACAAGATACTGTTGACAAAGCAATTGAAGTTTTTGGTAGATATTTATTAACTTATATATTTAATATTATTGATGATAGTTATAATTGTTTATGTTAACCACTTTTATTTTATTTTGGAAGATTTAAAGCCAACCAATGAATGCATTACAGAAAAAGCAAAACTTATCGGATCTCAGGCTTATTCTAGAACAATGTTTATTAAACTTATACAACATTTTGGTATAGAAACAGAAGTAAAAACATATACATTTATTTCTTTGTATATACAGTTGTACCTCAATATAAGAACCATGTTTGAAACATACTAATTTTTCTGGTTCTTATAGAGAGGTTGTCCTAGATGGAGGTGTTTTTCTATAAGCTTAATAGTAATTGATTCCCAATATATAGAGAGGTTTTTATATGATATTCTTATATGGAGGGTTCTTATGTGGAGGTACAGCTGTATTTCTTTTCCAAATAAAAGAATTATTACTCATAAATGCATTTATTTCAATTATTATAATAGGTTGCACAGCATTTAGCTGATAGTTATGGTGATCGAGCATGGGATGTAGTTTCATTAGCATTACCTACTAACAAACATTGGCCAATTTTTGGTCATAGAATAAGTCCAATTTATCCTTATATTGATGCAGAAATACTATATGCTATTAAACGAGAATATGCATGTACTCTTGTGGTACATATCAATATAAATATATATTTCAATTATTCAATCAATTATTCATTAATTATTTTAAATTTTTTTTAGGATGTAATTGCCAGAAGAACACGATTAGCATTTTTGGATGCACAAGAAACATTTAATTCATTACCACATATTATTGAGATAATGAGTAAAGAACTTAATTGGACAAAAGAACAAAGAACCCAGGAATTTAATAAAGCTGTAGAATTTTTAATAACAATGGGTTTGCTGCTACCAAAAGAAAAATTAACTTTAAAATAGAAAAAAATAATCAATAAACAAAACTTTTAGAATCTTTTGTGCGAGAAATTATTTTTGAAAGAAGAGAATATTTCAATTGAAAATTGCAATCAACAATGATATTCTAAATATCTTCTTTTGTTGGACCCTTTAATTGAAAGAAAGAAAGGATTAGCGTGGGTTCATTTCCCGTTTCTAGACAACCAATCTATACTGGGACACTCCAAAATATTTTTTGATTTATGCAGTAAAAATCTTTGGCTTTTAAACAGTGCAAAATTGGCTCAAGAGTCTACTTTATTAATTATGAATAAAATTTCTTTCATCTATCCTAACCTATTGTTTCCTTGACCAGTATATTGACGTTTTGGAGGATGATAAATACAGTCAGTGCTTGATATAAGAAAGAGTTGGTGTTTGACCAAAAACTTCACTTTATTAAAAATAAAAATAATTATTTAGTGATCAAACTATCTAGCATGCTTCGTTTGTTAGTGCATTTGGATATGTGGTTTTTAGTTACATTTATTGAATTAATGTGGAGCATTTATCCCCGCATTAGTCTGATCGTCACGATTCACAGTTTTCTAGAGATGTTGATCAGTCTGGGACTGGCAGCCCCAAGATACAATATAAAAAAACAAACATTATTTGAAAAAGACATGTTTGAAAAAAGAAGAAATTGTTATTTCAAATTCAATTGAGTTCGCATATTATTCCATTCACTAATAAAAAAAATAAAAATCATCGCAAAAGCCTTTAAAATAATACCGACATTCACTGTGCAAAAGAATAAAAAAAAAATCATACTCCCGACATACCTTTACTTAGAAGACAAAAATGCCATTTACTAGTAGTATTAAGAACCATGTGCGATCACTATATGCAAGAGACAGTCCTTCAACTGGAAAAAGGTAACTGAACATGCTATTTCCAAAGAAGTGCAATTGAATTTCAGCAACATGCATTAGAACAGTCCCACCATAATGAGCCAGAAATTCATACAGAAACTTCTAGTAAAGATAATAAAAATTTAACTTTTTCACAGGCAGTAGGCATATTCTCAATTTAATGATGATGACTTTAGGAAAACTTTGACATGAAAAACTGCATCTAGATTGTTTTACTGATATCTATACTTGTATTAATCATAGGAAAATTCAATTTTTAATTCCATCACAGGTTTCTATGAAACACCCATTAGAAAGGAAGTGCTAATGCAGGAAACAATATTCCTATTCCAGCAATGAAGATGAAGGAAGCATGGCTTTGTCATATACCTTTAGGGTATAGCTCTTTGCATAAGCCTAGTTTGTATGGTTGTAATTCTTCTAATTGTTTATTACTAAAACTATAATCACTGAAGAAACAGGACGGATATTGCCATGTGGCCATGCATATCATAACACATGTTTTAACCAAGGTGCTTGCGTTGGTTAGACTTAGATTTTATCAAGGGTGGTGTTGATAAACATGTTCAATCACTTCTAGAAGTTTACATCAAATTAATTTGAATAGTAATGCTAAGGTGAAGATCCCAATTCTATTCTTGAAGGTGATAATGATGACATTAAAGAATCTGCAGATGACATTTTAGCCCCATGAGATGATACAATATGGCGATTTCTTCGGCTATAGTTTTTTTTTGTTTTTTTGTTTGATTACTATTATAAGAGTTTTTGTTGATTGGGCTATAACATTTATTGCATTTTATTTTATGTGTAAAACAATCTAATAAATAAAGAAACTTGAATTATTTTTAATTATTTTGTTACTGCATAAGATAGTTGTTACTTGACTAATAAGAATTATGATAATTGAAAAATAATGGCAGTATATAGTAGCTTCGTAATTAAGTGAATTTATCTTAATATCTATCATCCAATAAAATCGAACAATTAAATTACAAAGATTAAGAAATGATCTACAGAAAATTAGCCAATCATACGCGTACACATTAATTATTTATGTATGGAACTCCTATTGCTATTGTTTTTTTTTGTTGACACGAATTGATTGATTTCTTTTTCTTGGAAAAACAATTTATTTTTCAGAGATGGCAAAACATGAGTCACCTGTTAATGACAGAGGTATTTTTTTTTTATTCGCTTTGATATAATAATAATATGGCGGCCTTTAAACGGAATCAAAATGTGGAGTAGAACTTGCTGGGCAAATTATAAGATTCTTGATGATGATAAATGAATGATTGGTATTTTGCTTTGTGTAATCAGTATCAATATCAATATAAATATATATATAATTACAAGATGTCAAGGCAGCATGACTGACTGTTGCAGAAGAAACATTTCAATATGCAATGTTTGATTATCGGGAAATTAGCAGATGTCAAAGCATGCATGCTACCTTGAACAATTCACAGTCATTCTTACACATTCCTTGCGTACAAAGGCTAATTTGACTATGTCGTGGCTCTAGCAATACAATGATGTTAAATTTCAGGGGGGGGAGTAGCCCTGGGATAGAAACTGCATCAATTGTCTGACACTTTCACTAATCTTTCTCACTGTACTCAGACCAGAGGAGGCTGCTAGCATGCTGGCTGAAAGTTGCCTGCAATGATTCTACTTCTAAGGTAAGGATGGCTCAGTGACCAGCTTTCATTTTGAAGAATTGTGATATTAAGTGTACATAAACATCCAGATTCATCAAAGCAACAAGAATCTGCAACTTATTTTCAAGCACAGGAGGTCACAGTTCAGAACAGGGTTGATGGTTCTGAAATTGGAATTAGGCTCTGATGTTAAGAGAAAGGCTGCTTCTTTAATACTAACCAATTTATAATTTTAGGTAAGGGCTTAATGGGCTTTTGCCCAATTAGTTACCTGTTCTGTAGATTAAAATAGACAGCAGACACAAACTTTATTTTAGTGAGAGGGCTATAACACAAAGCAAGCATCATGCAAACATTAGCTATCAGGTGACCAAAGCCCATATGGTAGCAGCCAAGCCTGGTCTGAGGAGGAAGATAAGGGAAGTTTTGTCCAAAGCCTACTAACATTGGGTATCCTCAGCTGTGAAGGAAAAATCCCATGGTTATGGGGTGTGCTAATTAATAGCACCCAATCCACATGTTTGTGACAGGAAAATTTAATTAAATCTGACACCTGCAATTAACATCAGATTTATTATTCATAAAAAACTACAATTGACGATAGTCACGAAAAATAATTTATTTTGTGAACTTAGAGATCTGGGTAGATACACATTATTAAAAGTTGTATTTATGCATGGCCTTGATATTATCATTACTTGGTGATGCAATTGTTTGTTATGCCAATTATAACATCAAATGTATTGGATATTAATCATGAATATTTGATGGATGGAGGCATTCACATACAAGGAAATGATTAAATAGCTAAGTCATGTTTTATTAAAGATATACAATTAAAAGCTGTTATGTTTGTGCATGATTTAAAATTCTTTTGTGCTAATTTAGGGTCACATCTTTCTTTGCTTATGTATAATCTATTGATTCTCTTTTTACTGGTTGAAGATGCCAAATTAGTAATGGGGTATCGATAAATATCAGAATTTAATAATTCTTTAAAAAAATAATCAAAGTATTGGCATACTGATAAGTCAATAATATTCCTATATAGTATTTTTTATCATATAGTCCAAAAGCCTCTTTAAAGCACCAATATTTATCAGGTATTCTTTTAAAATTAATTCTGTTTTTAGTTAATTATTGACTTAATTTAATAAACCAATAGCTCTTTTATATTGTAATTAAGTTATTGGTTAAATATTTCTAAAGCTTTTTGTACTAAAATAATATCATAATCTTTAGTAGTAGTTAGGAAAAATAATTCGAAAAAACGAACAAAATGAACAATATACAGGGGACTAGGTGATTGGACCTTTAGCATGTATGGATGACGTCACAGTTTCCTTAACTTCATAATCATATCATCATTTAATAATAGATAACAAATTGTCCTTGTCCTTGTTGTTATTGTATCGAATTTTATATTTTTGTATTTGTAATGATAATAAACCCATCTCTAAACAATGAATTCATACTAATCCTGTGTATAATTATTTTCTCTTATTTTATATTTGTTAATATATTTTTATTTCTTTTTCTTTTCTTTTATTTTATAAGTGGTGTTAGACAGAAACCTAAGTAGGGCCAGAAGTCGATTGTGAAAGCTGGCTAGAAAGGAATTGATTATGAAATATCCATTTTGGTAATGTTAGGGAATAACAAGCTAAGTGGGCACCCTCCAAGAAAAGCAATCGGGATAAAGAGGTTATACATTCCTGACTTGAACAGAAGGAAGGGAAATGTGATCAGGGAGGAAATAGGAAATTATATATGTGCAAAGGTTTTTTTATTAGAAAAGGATTCAACTAATGCTAAAAATAAATCAATCACACAACCCTGCCATATAATCTAAAATAACAACCCATTTGGGCAGAATTTGAATCATTATATATATTATTTTGTAAATGACTCACATTTTTATCAATAACTGAGCTATGAATCCGCCATTTTCTCCTCTTTCACAAAATCTTCTTTAACATATCTATAATTGTTCCAAAGCCACCGTAAAGCATCTTCAGCTGTTGGTCTATTAAATCCATCCTTTGCCGTCAAGTTCATTTTTGCATAGACCTTCAATTATCTGATCCTTGAAGCTCAACAGAGGCTGTTGGAATCAAATGTCCAACAGACCAAATATCAACACCCTCATTGTGATGGGATTTGAAAAATCTCGGGTACATGACTTCCTGTAGCTAATCGTTTGTTTGAAGGAGCATGGCACGCATCATCAAAATCGATGGTGAACCAAATCTCTTGATCTATGAACTTTAACATGTTATCCCAACAGAGGTCACGATACATGATTTTCATTTTGTGGAGAGTCTGAAAGTGAATATTCATAAAATTATCTTAGGTTTTCAAAGATAGCAAAAAATGGATGAAATGAAAGATAATAAATACCCTAAGGTGGTCAAAACACAATACAATGCTTTGATTAGTTGTTCCTTTGATCATGGCTTATATGCTACACCCTTTGGTGAAAAAATCATGAATGGAGTTGATCCTTCCTCCGTATTGACATGGTTGAGGTAATCAATGAAAGGAACTTGATGTTTGGCCATTTCATCATAAAGGGTCTTAAAGTCCATGACAGAATCCACTAAAGAATAACGTTTTACAACTGTATTTTGCATAAATTCAATCACTTTATCACTTGTTCAATGAAGCTGAACAAATTCCTGCTGAAAATACTCTGGTACAGTTTGGCGAAGTAAGTATAATAATTGGCCAATATTTCTTCCAATATTGAAGGCTTTTATGCGTCCCTCCACTTTATCCAGTGAATAAGTCAACAAGTCCCCCGATCAGTATTGTCTCCTTCAAGATACATCACCCCGGCAGCAATTGCATAGTACTCAAAGATGTAGGGACAATTTCCATACGTCCATGTAAATTTCGAGACTAGTTCTACTGCTGGATTATCATTATTTTCAGGTCCCTTTTCCTCCCCTCTCACAAGACAAGCATCCAACACCAAATACGAAAGATCGAGTCTATATTGTCTTGTGTAAGTGTGACGAGACGTGTTTCTATTGTGTGATCCATCTGGACATCCAATTTAAAAGGTTTGACAATAAGTGTGTCCCAAAACCCATGGAATGAATCCTCAGCGGTACTGGTCTCAGGAGGACAGGTAATTTGTACAATATATTCGTACCACAATCTACTGGATGCTTTATCTGAACTCACAAAAAATTGATCGAGGAAGTTTCGATCTCAAATAAAGATCATACAAAGTTGAGTTAACTTTGATCGGTTTGGTGAATCATTGTTCAATAAATTCAACAGGATGAAACAGATTATCAGAGATACAAAGTTACAGTGACGTGTCCTTTCAACTTACCAATGTTGCGATCTTGTTCAAGACCTATGAAACAAAGCAGGTAATATTAAAATATCATATAACGTATGCGAACGGGCGAAAGCACAAGTTAAAAATGAAAAAAAATCATTAAATTATTAACAAAAATAATATTTTCCTCCGCTACAAAATAAAAATAAAAATAGAATTATAGCATTAATTATAACTAAATCTAAAGCATCCTTGTCAGTTATATGGCACATACCCTCTCTCAACACTTTACCACCGCCAAATTTACACTCATCATCATACTTGGTATAATCCTTCTCAATCTCTAACCATAAATTAGTATTACCCAAGCTAGCTTTATCTCCTGTTGTTGGACCAAAAATATCAGAATAGGCTCTTCTGTTAATAGTATATGGATTACATGATGATGATGAAGCAAGTTGTTGTTGTGGGTTATGGTTAAAGCCCTTTTCTAATAAAGTCTTAACAATTGATTTGGTTTTTGACAAATCAAACTTGCCAGTTGCTATTCCATTTCCACCACTAATGTATTTTGATCCAGCAATTGATGCCAATGTGACTGTATTTGTTTCGCCTGGCTCAAAACTTACAGTTGACCCAACTGGCACATCAAGTCTTTTGCTTCCTATCAAATTCCAATGCTGAATTTGTCTTATAAAATGATAATAGGGCCCAATCTATAAAGATTATAAAATCAGAATTATTTTACTGGTCATAATAATAATCATGTAATTTGAATAAAACAATTTTATCAAAGCATATATTTACTAGTATGTAACTTTTACAGCAACTCTTTTTCTGCCTTCATTCAAAATAATTTTACCAGGTTTAACAATAATAGCACCAGGAGCAACATTTTAATCTTCCTCATGAACTTCTGTTGATTGTTGAAACAAATTTAGATTTATCAGGAAACTTCCACACAAGGCCAATTCAAAGTCAACGACGTCATCAGAATATATTGGGTTGTGGACGATAACTAATAAGTGCCGTCAGGAAAATTAACTTCAACTTGCACTTTGGGCAAAGTTTCCAACAACAATAATGGAAATTTAGACTTTTATCGGCAAAAGGCTATTTTAGCAGATCAATGTTTCGTTAAAATATTTTTTTCTTACCAATTAATTATTATAAATTAATGATAATATAATAATGAAGAAGTTTGTCGTTTCAAATATCATATGTCAAATACTGGTAATAATAACAATCAACATATTCATGGTGGAGTGTGAGCGAGAGGAGATCATGGGCATACACACAAACATTTAGAAAGTTTCAAAAAGTATACAGAACAAGAATTGCCAAAAATTGAACTTTCATGGTTGGAATTGATGGGCAAGTGATATTTGTCAATTAATTAAATTATTATTATTAATTATTAACATTAAGTTAAGTTTGGATGGAAGGTCTGTGTGCATTTCATTATGAAAAACCTTGTCAATCTTGACTAA